ACAGATATGTTAGAAAGAATGTAAAAATAAAAATATAGATGATCAACAACTGGAAGGTACATCAGTACCACAGTAGTAAAAAAGAGGAGGGAAAAAGAAAAAAAATTAAAATGGTGGCAGGGGGAAGGCCTTGGCTGTGGAGAGTTGGGCCTAAGCAAGGGCGAGGTTTGGGTGGTGGGCGGGGCCAATGCTCAGGACCCAGTAGGATGGAAAAGGCCCTGGGGGCTGTGGAGGGTGGGGCTTAGACTCAAGGAACAGAAGGGGCCCAGGCATGCCCCCCACCCCTGGTCTCAGAGGGCAGGGGCCCTCACCTCGGAGCCTAGCAGGCTTCCTGGGCTCAAATGGGTGGGGCAAATGCCCTCTCCTCCTCTCCTGCTCCTCCAGTCTTGGGTCTCGGAGGCCCCCTCCCGCCTGCCTCTCCTGATCTCCCCGGCCTCCCTACTATGCCTCCAAGACCAATGTGACCAGAGGGGGATGGGGAAGGGGAGGCCTTGGAGGGCAGGGAACTGGCGTGGGAGTTCAGCAGGCTCCCCGTGCCCGAGTGGAAGGGGCAATCACCCTCTGTTCCCCTCCCACTCCTCCCAGAGGGCCCCTCCCGCCTGCCTCTCCTGATCTCCCCGGCCTCAGGGGCCCCGATCTTCTCTGGCCTCTACTTCTCCTCCCCCCTCGGTCCCCCTGTGTCCTACTGGTTCACTCTGGGGTTCCTCCCATTTCCTTGGGGGTTAGAGTCTTCCACCAGTGGCCAGCAGGCGCCCTAGTTGTGGGGAGATCCTAACTCCACGTCTTCCCACACTGCCATCTTAGTTTTATAGTTTTAAGTTCTATATTTGGGTCTGTGATCAATTTGAGGTAAGCTTTTGTGAAGAGTATAAGGTCTACATCTAGATTTTTTTTTTTTTCGCATCTGGATATACACTAGTTCCAACATGATTTGTTGAAAAGACTTTCTACTATATAGCACAGGGAACTCTGCTTAATATTCTATAATAACCTAAATGGGAAAAGAATTTGAAAAAGAACAGATACTTGTACACGTATAACTGAATCACTTTGCTGTTCACCTGAAACTAACACAACACTGTTAATCAACTATATTCCAATATAAAATAAAAATTAAAAAAAAGAAAAGAGTCTCTTGCTACATTCTGTTGCCTTTGCTCCTTTGTCAAAAATCAATTGATTATATTTATGTGAGTCTATTTCTGGGCTGTTTTCTGTTCCATTGATTTGTCTGTTGTTTCCCCAATATCACATAGTCTTAATTATTGTATCAGTATAGTAAATCTTGAAATTGAATTGTGTCAACCCTCTAACTTTGTTCTTTTCCTTCAATATCGTGTTCGTGAGTCTTTTGCTTCTCCATATAAATTTAAAATCAGTTTGTCAATCCACAAATAACTTGCTGGAATTTCGATTGAAATTGCACTGAATCTATGGATCAGTTGGAAAGAAATGACATCTTGACAATTTTGAGATTTCCTATCCATGAACAATAAATATTTTTCCATTTATTTAGTTTGATTTTGTTCATCAAAGTTTTGTAGTTTCCCTCATATAGATCTTATACATATTTTGTTCTGTTTATACCTAGGTATTTATTTTGGGGGGGGTACTGATGTAAATGTTATAGTGTTTTTAATTCCAAATTCCACTTGTCCATTGATAGAGTTCGATGCTGGTTTGATTACTGTAGCTTTGCAATATATTTTGAAATCAGGAAGCATGATGCCTCTAGCTTAGTTGTTCTTTCTCAAGATTGCTGTGGTATTCTGGGTCTTTTGTAGTTCCATATGAAATTTAGGATTGTTTGTTCTATTTCTGTAAAAAATGTCTTTGGAATTTTGATAGAGATTGTATCTAATCTGTAGATTGCAGACTATCATGAGAATAGCCATGTTCATTCCAAGGATGCTGTTTCTGGATGAAGAAAAACATCTAATTCTCAAGATGCTCTTGAGATTTGTATAAGAGAAGATAGAGTTTTCTTCCCAGCTTTGAGTCACCATTGATTATCTGGACCTTGAAGCAGCAGTACATGTGCCCAGAGCCTTACAAAGACAAATACTCTTAAAATCACTTGTTTGTTTGCAGATCAGTTACCTGACCTTTTCTGCCATGCTCTGTATCATAAGAATCTAAGTTTCCCAAGGCCCCCTCCTCTGTGAATTCTAGGAAAATTCAGCCAAGAGGAAGAGGGTGGAAGTGGAGATAAAGCCAGGGTATTTATCCTTCTCTGTCTGCTTCAGCTGGCACTTCAGTGCCACCTGTATCTCCTCTGTGGCTACAGCTCCCCCTGGACGGCTCTGTCTCCTATGGTCCAAGCTTGCTGAGCAGATCCAATATGGCTCCATCTTTGCTGGGTGGCCCCAACTCCAGGTCTCTGGTAACATTCTGTCCTTTGTTCCCCCAGCCTTAAGGATTGTAGTAGCTTCTTGATGGTAATTTTGGGGTGGTCTCATTGTCCCCCCACCCATTCTCAATTCTTCCATCATCTGTGTATCCAATTACATGTATCATATTTCCTCTGTCTGAAATATCTACAGTGGTTTCTGTTTTCCTGGGAGGACTCCAACTCTTAAAGGCTCTCATAAAAATAATGCCAAGTTGAACAGTTTGAACAAGGACACCTAGGTCTCTGGGTGAAACAGAAAGCAGTATAGGAATAACATAAGAGATATAAAATCTACTTCCTCTTTTCACATTATGTTAGTTGTTAAGTATAGGGTTGCCCTGTGACACAACCATATGGAAAACCATTCACATTCTAGTCCATGTAATTGGCAGTCCTTAGAGTTGTGCAGTTCACAACATGGTCATCTGTACCTAACAAACTTCGGTGGGTAGATATTGCCCAAAGCTCATTTTTATTGGTTAGTGACATCTAGTTATTTGTAGGACTGGAGTCAACTCTAAGACATAGAAAGAAAGAAAAAACAACAACCCACAGTAGCCTAAATAAAACAGTAATTTTCTCACATATAAAAGTCTGTAGGGATGTAGTTCAGGGCTGGTATAGATGCTCATCTCCACAAAGTCCCTAGCCACCTAGACACTGGATTCCTTCTAGCTCACCAATCTGCCATCTCTCAAGTGTGAACCTCATTCTTATTATCCGTGAGGCATATGCCTTCCAGACAGCAGAATGGAAGAAAGGGCCCAAAAAAGTAGGGGGGAGGGGGCACAGGTAGGCAATGGGAAAATGCCAGATATCCCCTAAGGAGGATTTCAAATAGGTACCACATGGCACTTCTACTTAGATACCTTTGGCCAGAACTTTCAGAAGTGAGGGTTGGGTGGACCTAGGTTTTTCCTTCTCTGGTCTCTGCTTATCTTTAAGGGGCAAACAGAGAAACAGTTCCCATAAGTTGATGCTGATGCTCTGGCCTTAAGTCTATAGCGACTTCTAAGGCCCCCAGAGAAGGAAGAAATAGAGACTAAATCAGAAACCTAGACTCACAGGCTTTGAGTACTAGATTTTACAGATATGGGAAATTAGGTAAAAATCACATAACTAGTTAATGAGAAATGTAGGACTGAAAGCCAGGTCTTCTGATTCCTAGTTCAGTGATCTTTTCATGATATGTCATCTCTTGGGGAAGACTGTTCTTTCTTTTCCCTGTGGCATATTACATAGCTGCAAATTCTTGGCAGTTCCTCTCCTCAGGTGATGGCGTTTATTTTTCTATTCCTTGAGTCTGGTCTGGCTTTGAGACTTGCATTGATCAAGAGAATATGGCAGAAGTGATGTTGTATGAATTTCAAGCCTAGGTCTCCAGAGATTTGCAGCTTCCACTCTTGCTTTCTTGGAATCCAGTTGCCATTGGAATGAGCCTGAGCTAGCCTCTGGAGGGGCCCCATGAATGAGATGCCCTGGCTAACAATCCCAGCCAACCACCAAACAGGGAGGGAGGCCATCCTGGACTAGGCAGCCCTGAGCTGCCATTTGAAACCAAACATATAAACGAGTGCAGCTGACGCTCCCAACTACCTAATTTGCCAAGCCATAGAATGGAGAGCCAATCCATTTTTTTTTAAGGCACCAGATTTGGGGGTTGTTTATTATAGAGCAATACTGGTATACTTCCTAATAGGTCAATCATATTTTTTGTGTTTTTTAAGGGTTTCACAAAGGGAGACCACACAATGTGTTCCATTCTCTTGTTTTCTGTTCTTCCAAATGGGGAAATTATTGTTCACCAATCCTTTATGCAAAACAGAATACTTACTGAACATTAAACAGGACCAATCCATGCTAAATGTTTTATAACATTAGTATTTTTAAGATAGACTTACTTGAAATAATGCAAAGTATAATTCTCTCAATTTTCACATGATGAGAAAAGTCAAGTTCCTTATCCTTGGTCATGCAGTTAATGCAGTTGGTTTAATAACGGAACTAGACTCAGCAAGGCACGAGCAAAATTGTCTTTATTCTTTCTTACAACTATTCCCACAAAACCTGCTCCAGGAGCTTATTCATCACCACTGGGTGAAATCTTTCACCTCTGGGTGAAATCTTGGGGAAGTCCAGTAGTTTTCCAGTTACTTTAGGTAGTAACAGAATCTCCTATCATTTCTAGGTAATAACGAGGGCGGTCTGATCTACCACCAAAACTCTGAATTTTTGTTGCTTTCAAAATTTTTCCCCTTCCCCAATTTGCACTTGTCTCAGGCTTGACGGCTGCAATAGGAAATGCAGGTCATGGTCAGCATCTCTCCTTCTCCACCGATCTCCTTTCTAACTTGCAACTGCAGTTTTGGTTCCTTCCAGGTTGATGCTTGGGGACGGAGGAGAAGTAAGAGATGGAAAAGGATTCACTTTTAATCTGATTCGGAGCCCTCTAGATGAGGCTGATATCCAAAGTTGTCTCTCTTATGGATTCTTTTGTGGGCTCTTCAGAGTTATTCTCACTAGAAACATCTGCCTCAAGACCTCCAAATGGAATTACGCTTCTCCTGGCTTGCCCTTCATAAATTTGCCTTCATTTTTTCTTCCATAGGCACGTGTCCAGCCTCTTCCTTCTGGGTGGCCTCTCTTCCGGTAGGAAGCCCTGCAGCATGTACATTTCACGTCAGCTCCTGGCCAGCTCCTTTCCACGGGATCCACAGAGCACAGACGGTGTACTGAATGCGCGCATCTGTAGCGGTGCATCTTGTGTCTACGGCAGCGTGCTTTGCTGTGCAGGTACCCAGCCACACTCTCTTGTCTTTATAATTTTCAGGCATAAGTCATTTGCTACTTCCTGGTATCTCAAGTTCTCCAAATCATTCTCTTGAACCTCCTTATTAGGCTCAAAGTGAGTGGTAAACACGATTCATGGTGAGGTGAGGGAAAGGAAAACCCACGCTCTCCCCAAACTCTTTTTAAAGAAGACATTCTCCAGTGTCCTCAGCCTCTCAGCAAATTCTTAGCCTTGTCTGATATTCCATCGAGATCTGAGACAAACTAAAAGTAGAAAAACCAGGTTCAGAATCATTTATTCTTTACTGCACAGATGAACTGATACTATTGTATTGCTTTTGGAAACTCTGAAACAATATAAACAAACACATGCAAGTGATGATAGCTATCATTTGTTCTTGGCCTACAATTTGCAAGGCAGTGTACAAAACACGGCTTCCTTTACTAAGTCCTTATGCTAATCTGTCATAGAAGGTATGATGATTTTGTTTTATAGAAATTAGCGGTACGGGTTCATTAAGAGATTTTCCCCAACATCACATGACTGTATTTGGTAGAACCCAGATTCAAATTAACTCCAGCCTGTCTAGAGCTAAAATGTCTGCTTTATGCTAGATCACATCATTTCTATTGGAAAATATACTGAATATATTTACTGAGGCTATCAGATGAAGAATGGTAGAACCAAGACTGAAAAAGGTGGGTGGAGGAGGTTGGACCACAGGAAAGATGTGGCCCATTGAGATGTCAACCCCACTGATTGCCCTGCTGCTGGGAAGGAAAAAGGGAGAGAAGACCAAAACACTCTGTCTTAATAGTTCCAGGAAAAGGTAGACCTTTGAAAATAAAGGATACAGAAAATTACAATCCAGGAAACGATATTTCCGAGATGATGCTCTATGTGTGCGTATGTGCATGTGTTTAAATAGAAGCGAATGAATTGAATTTTAGGGGGAAAAAAAGGAAAAGAAAGAGTAAATGGAATAGCATCCCAGGTGGAGATATGACTGTGATTCTCAATTCCAATGCAGAGTAAACTTCCCCTGTTGGGTGACAATACAATTAATCAACAGCTAATGAATGATATGGGTAGCAGATGCTCTAACTTAAGAATCAGGGCATCAGGAAAAAAGATGTGGTATATATGTACACAATTGGGTATTGCTCAGCCATAAAAAAAGAATGAAATCTTGCCATTTGTGACAATATGGATGGACCTACAGCGTATTATGCTGGGTGAAATAAATTCGACAGAGAAAGACAAATACTGTATGATGTCACCTATATGTGGGATCTAAAAAACAAAACAAATGAACAAACATTATGAAACTGAAACAGAGTTATAGATACAGAGAATAAACAGGTGGTTGCCTGAGGGGAGGGGGATGGGAGGAGGAAAAAGATAGGTGAGGGAGATTAAAACGTACAAACTTCCAGTTGCAAAATAAATGAGTCATGCATATGAAATGTACAGTGTGGGGATATAGTCAATAACTATGTAATGTGTTTGCACAGTGACAGATGGGAACTAGACTTATCGTGGTGATCATTTTGAAATGTATAGAAATATTGAATCACTATGTTGTAGAACAGGAACTAACATAGTGTTGTAGGTCAATTATACTTCAAAAACAAAGTCATTTAAAAAGAGATTGCAGGAGGAGCTTCAAGATGGCGGAAGAGTAAGACGCAGAGATCACCTTCCTCCCCACAGATACATCAGAAATACATCTACATGTGGAACAGCTCCTACAGAACACCTACTGAACGCTGGCAGAAGACCTCAGACCTCCCAAAGGGCAAGAAACTCCCCACGTACCTGGGTAGGGCAAAAGAAAAGAGAATAAACAGAGACAAAAGAATAGAGACAGGACCTGCACCACTGGGAGGGAGCTGTGAAGGAGGAAAGGTTTCCACACACTAGAAGCCCCTTCGCGGGCAGAGATGGGGGGTGGTAGAGGGGGAAGCTTTGGAGCCACGGAGGAGAGCACAGCAACAGGGGTGCGGACGGCAAAGCGGAGACATTCCCGCACAGAGAATCGGTGCCGACCGGCACTCACCAGCCTGAGAGGCTTGTCTGCTCACCCGCCGGGGCAGGCAGGGCTGGGAGCTGAGGCTCGGGCTTCGGTCTTAATCTTAAATGTAAATGGATTAAATGCTCCAACCAAAAGACATAGACTGGCTGAATGGATACAAAAACAAGACCCATATATATGCTATCTACAAGAGACCTACTTCAGACTTAGGGACACATACAGACTGAAAGTGAGGGGAAGGAAAAAGAAATTGCATGCAAATGGAAACCAAAAGAAAGATGGAGTAGCAATTCTCATATCAGACAAAAAAGACTTTAAAATAAAAACTATTACAAGAGACAAAGAAGGACACTACATAATGATCAAGGGATCAATACAAGAAGAATGTATAACAATTGTAGATAATTATGCACCCAACATAGGAGCACCTCAGTATAAAAGGCAAATGCTAACAACCATAAAATGGGAGAGTAACAGGAACATGATAATAGTGGGGGACTTTAACACCCCACTTTCACAAATGGATAGATTGTCCAAAATGAAAATAAATAAGGAAACACAAGCTTTAAATGATACATTAAACAAGATGGACTTAATTGATATTTATAGGACATTCCATCCACAAACAACAGAATACACTTTCTTCTCAAGTGCTCATGGAACATATCTTGGGTAACAAATCAAGCCTTGGTATATTTGAGAAAATTGAAATCATATCAAGTATCTTTTCTGACCACAACGCTATGACACTAGATATCAATTACAGGAAAAAATCTGTAAAAACTACAAACACATGGAAGCTAAACAATACATTACTTAATAACCACGAGATCACTGAAGAAATCCAAGAAGAAATTAAAAAATACATAGAAACAAATGACAATGAAAACACGACAACCGAAAACCTATGGGGTGCGGCAAAAGCAGTTCTAAGCAGGAAGTTTAGAGCAATACAATCCTACCTTAAGAAGTAAGAAACATCTCAAATAAACCAGCTAACCTTACAGCTAAAACAATTAGAGAAGGAAGAACAAAGAAACCCCAAAGTTAGCAGAAGGAAAGAAATCATAAAGATCAGATCAGAAGTAAATGAAAATGAAATGAAGGAAACGATAGCAAAGATCAATAAAACTAAAAGCTTGTTCTTTGAGATGATAAACAAAATTGATAAACCATTAGCCAGAGTCATCAAGAAAAAAAGGGAGAAAACTCAAATCAATAGAATTAGAAATGAAAAAAGGAGAAGTAACAAATGACACTGCAGAAATACAAAGAATCATGAGAGATTACTACAAGCAACTCTGTGCCAATAAAATGGACAACCTGGAAGAAATGGACAAATTCTTAGGAAAGCACAACCTTCCAAGACTAAACCAGGAAGAAATAGAAAATATGAACAGACCAATCACAAGCACTGAACTTGAAACTGTGATTAAAAATCTTCCAACAAACAAAATCCCAGGACCAGCTGGCTTCACAGGCGAATTCTATCAAACATTTAGAGAAGAGATAACACCTATCCTTCTCAAACTCTTCCAGAATATAGCAGAGGGAGGAACACTCCCAAACTCATTCTACAAGGCCACCATCTCCCTCATACCAAAACCAGACAAAGATGTCACAAAAAAACAAAACTACAGACCAATATCTGTGATGAACATAGATGCAAAAATCCTCAACATAATACTAGCAAACAAAATCCGACAGGAAATTAAAAGAATCATACACCATGATCAAGTGGAGTTTATCCCAGGAATGCAAGGTTTCTTCAGTATATGCAAATCAATCAGTGTGATGCACCATATTAACAAATTGTAGGAGAAAAACCATATGATCATCTCAATAGATGCAGAGAAAGCTTTTGACAAAATTCAGCACCCATTTATGATAAAAAACCCTCCAGAAAGTAGGCATAGAGGGAACTTACCTCAACATAATAAAGGCCATATATGACAAACCCACAGCCAACATCATCCTCAATGGTGAACAACTGAAACCATTTCCACTAAGATCAGGAAGAAGACAAGGTTGCCCACTCTCACCACTATTATTCAACATAGTTTTGAAAGTTTTAGCCACAGCAATCAGAGAAGAAAAAGAAATAAAAGGAATCCAAATCGGAAAAGCAGAAGTAAAGCTGTCACTGTTTGCAGATGACATGATACTATACATAGAGAATCATAAAGATGCTACCAGAAAACTACTAGAGCTAATCAATGAATTTGGTAAAGTAGCAGGATACAAAATTAATGCACAGAAATCTCTTGCATTCCT